AAGTTTCTCCTTGATTTCAATAGAATTTGGACCAAGCCCTAAATATCCCTAATAAAAGGGAGTATTTTGCTATCAATTACAACATTGCACATTTCACTGTGGTATCTGGTACCTATTAATTTTGCTTTAAGTTTTGAATATATTATAATGAAAGATAGACAAATATCTAAATATAGGTAATATCTTTACCTGGCCCAATTTCTGTTGATGAAAGTGAGGAACTTTCAAGTACACACAGAGTTCTTCAAGCTCAAAAAATTGTCTCTCTCACAAACAGAAATGGGTGCAGTACAATAGATACCTCACCCACCTGGACACTCTAACCTCCTGATATGGGGCGAGACCACAAAACTTCATACACAATAGTGAAAGATAAACCATTGTCTTATAAGAACCATTACAATTCAAAAAACTTAAAAAACAATTAATGGTCCCATAGCACCTTAGAAACAAAAACTTAATTTAGAAGGATAAATGTGAAAATCTTTCTTGAAGTGTTTTACAGTTTTAGCAGAGGAAGAAAACCAAGGAATGGTCCTAAAATCGTGGTTTCCAGATCTCCTTTGTATTTTTCTGGCACTCTTCACAATTCTTGCTATCACTTTTTATTGCAAATCCTTTCTCCAACCTCAGAAGTTGACACATTAAGGCAGGGGTAAGAATCCTTTTTTGGATCGGGGCCACAGACCCACAGACAAATCAGTTGGGGCAGCACACAAGGGAGAAGAAAAAAATCCTTATCATTGACTTGGCCCCCACACGGAGGAGCATTCCCCTTACACATCAGGGCCAAAGGGGGACCCAGGCTAGTAGATTTTGTGTGCTGCAGCCCCACAGAGAAAAGGCAGGAGCTGGAGCACCATTGTGGGCTTCTCAGTGCTGGAGAGAACCCTGAACCCCAGGGAATGGTTCCAGACAAGCCAGGGGGTACATTTGGCTCCAGGGTCTTAGGTTCTCCATCTCTGAATTAAGGACAGACATAAAAGAAACCTTGAAAATTCCCTGAAAATGGAAGCTGAAAACATGTGCAGATGTATTTCTATGCTTTATTTTCTGTCCTGGAGATTAAATGAAAACAGTAAGGTAAAAGCTTGTAATGCTTTGGGTTGAAGAATTATCCATCAATTAATTAGCATCATAGTCAGTAATGTACAAAATACCAGCAAAGAAAACTTTAGAATGTCAATATCATTTGGTTAATGGAAAAACTACATTGCCAATCCCTCATTCCGCGAAAAAACAGAGCTATGGTCCTTCGTTTTGCTGGAATTGTATGTTAGATCAGGCTTGTTAGGAAACAATTTTCTATTTGCTAGTGAAGGCTATCTAGGTTGTATAACGTTTTCCACGGGAAACAGCCAAGCAATTAAGGTTCCTCAAGGTAGTCAGGGTTGAAACAAACTAACCTGCTTTGAGTCAGACACTTTTGGATCGTCATTTGCTGCCATGAACTGATCCGCTCTGTTTGTGTGTGTTTGGGTCATTTTTCCCATCCTCGTTTTCCGATGGCGCTACCTCTGCAGTGTCATCCCTAATCATGCAAAGACTTACTCATATGCTTAAACAAAAGGAAATATATGTAGCACTTTAAAGACTAACGAGATAGTTTATTAGGTGATGAGCTTTCATGGGGCAGACCCACTTCTTCAGGAAAGCTCATCACCTAATAAACTATCTTGTTAATCTTGAAAATGCGACATATTTTTTCCTTTTGTTTTACCAAGATCAGACTAACACGGCTACCTCTCTATTACTTTTTATATGCTTAAGGCAAGTATGCGCGCTTATTTTTGCAGGACTCTGGTTACAGGAAAAACAAAGCTTGGCTTTTGTTTTTTTTGGGGGGGGGGTGGGCGGGGGGGAGGGGGGGGAGGGGGGGATGGGGGTTCATTGCCAGTGCTGCTCCTTCGGAATAAATGTTTACCACTTTTTTATGGCACTTAGTAATTCACGTTTGAAGGACATCACCCCCCCCCTCCTAAAAATAACGACACAAAGTGCGTGTCTCACATTTGATACATTTTGATACTACAACTGCTCTGCTAGGATAAGCCCATAAGGTGTCAGCAGCAGCATTTTTACTATTACATGCACATAAAGTTTGCACAGAAAAATATTTACGTTCTCCTGTGCATCCCCTAGAGGGCACCAAACCCCACAAAGTGAGCAAACTAGGCACGCAGTGGGCGCATTCAGGTGAGGTTTGGTGAGAGCTAGCTGCACTTGGCTCACAACTGGTTCTGTTGTTGTCTTTGCAGAAAAACAATGGGACACATCTCTCCTGTCTGATTCTTTCGGTCTTTGCAACCGGGTCTTTGCAATGTTCTTGTTTCTCATCAAAGCCTTCTCTGAGATTGCAAGGAAAGTTTCAAAGCTGGGGGGAGGAGGAGGGAGGAACTCTGGCAGTGGAAAGATGCATGTTATTGTTTTATAGTGTCCACCAAGGGTAAATAAAAGATTTTAAAACTCAACCTCCAAGCACGTAGAAGTTGTTGTTCAAATAACTTACACACATTGCTCCGGGGAGCCCTGAAGGGGAAGAGAAAAAGTGTCGGAGCATTCCAAGGAAAAGAAAATATTTCTTTTCCACGTTTGCGCGCTTGGTTGAGAGAATCTCTCCCTCTCTCTCGTTTGGGGCTGAAACTGCATTTTTCTTCTTGTTGCTAAACGTTGGGCTTTGCAGAGTCATTTTGATTGCGGCGCCACCGATTTTCCAAATGCATGCTGCGGGGAGACTGGCCTTCTTTTTTGACTTTCTATAGAAACGTGCACTCGCTAAAGTTTTGACAGCGGTGAGCTGATGGGAGGTAAGGTGTCCTAAAAAGGCTGTTTGTTGAGACAAAACGTTTAGGACATAACATGGCAAGGTCTAAAGGAGCTAACAATGGCCAGTGTTTCTTTGGGCAGAGTTTCCCGTTTTACAGCTTTTAAAAATTGCATGTGCTTTTTTTAACCCCTAAATGCTTATTGTGCTAAAGTTTAAAAGCGTGAAGTTGTTCTAAAACCTTTTAAACAAACCTCGATTCTCGGTGAATACATTGAAATGACACATCAGCCGCCCTGCAAAAAGTCGCTTTTTGATTCTCTTTGTGAAACCAGCCCGGCATGTAGTCATACATAAAATCATCGATGTGTCTCTTTTGAAGTTTATTTCCATCAAAACGAAGAATAACGTCTTCAAGGAATCAACTGCGTTTTACAATCAGATTCCAGGACAGCAGGAGGTTGGGGGAAGGGGGTTAAAGTACGAGGTAAAAACCTTTCCCTTTTATTAAAACATTCACAAATAGCTTGTGAGATTCTGTTTCCTCAGGATGGAGCGTTACCCCTCCAATACCTACCCCCTTTGTATTCCTAATATGCACATACTGAGTGCATTTGTTAAAATAAAATGAGGAGACATTTGTCACACACACACACACACACACACACACACACACACACACACACACACACACACACGATACATTTGCTTTTTGTAAGCTGTGTCCTTCTCTGTAGCTTTTCACATTCCCGAAGGCTGGATTTTTTTTTAATCTTCGAAAAAAATCTCATGCAGTGAATTATAAAAGGATGACCTTATTTCGGTGGGCAATAAACACAGACTGGCTCACTAGCTATTTTATTCTGTTTTAAACCCGCTTTTCAAGACCTGTGAATCCAAATGGAGGGGAATTTGTTTTTTGCTTTTTATTTTACTTAGGGGAGAGGGGCCATGAGAAATTGTTTCCTTCTTCACCGGTTTGCCGCTTCTCGCCACAATCACTGCAGTGCGGATTCCAGCAGCATTGCAAATACAGGAATTTACACTTCTCCAGCATGCGTCCCTAATTAACCGAATCTGATTGCCTGTAATGAAATCATTAGGGAAAGCAAGAGGGGCGGGTTTCACAAACCCAAGAAAACTCGCCCTGATATTAGTCTTTTTCTCCTGGGTCTTTTTTTCTTTTTTAATTTTTTGACCAAACCACAAAAATTACGGGTTTTTTTAAAATATACTAACATCTTTTGGAAAGTGTTAGAGGAATCTGCAAGCTTGATGCCTCCAAAACACTCCTGTGTCAAGCTCTTGCAGCTGATAGCAGCCCGTGCTGTGAAATCTGATGTATGCCATCCCCATGACTTCTAGTGCTAGTGCTTTTATACGTAGCTACCCCTTAACAAGCAGCGTTTCAGAACCTAAGACAATGGGTGCCCCTTTCTGACTATGGAAAGAAGAGTGATTCGAATTAAAACCAAAACGGATTTTAAAATGGGAATCCAAACTGCAGGTTTGCTTGGATAAAACCTGGAGGAATGATCCAGCCGTCAGGGATATGTTTTCCATGATCGGTGATCGCTGAGATAAACCGAAGCGGCATGTTTTGCTACTTCCAATCCGTTCAGTTCTTTTTTTTTTTTAACATTTAATGCACTTTAAAGGTCTACTGCAAGCAAACAAACGTCACTAATGAGCCGTTCTGGATGCGATTTCTCTACCTTCCAAAACCCCCACCGGCCCTATGTTACCTTGGTCCTAGCTGTTATGCCGCAGCCTCTCTCTGCCCACTGATTGGACAGAGCCATCCCGAAGCGCCCAGCGATTGGCTCAAAGTCGAGAGGAAAGGCGTGGCCAGCGCGGAGTAAAAACTCGCCTTCAGGAAGAAAAGTTTTGAAACTTTCCCAAACCCTATAAGGGGAGTTTGCATTTGCGGGGCTGGCTGGTGGCTCTCCACACATACAGACACACACATTGGACTCTCACACGCTCCTCCACAGCCCTCGAGTTTATTTTGATTCTGAGTTCGCAAGACGTTTCGCTGGTTTCCCCTCCAGAAGAATTTTTTTTTGATCGCTGTTGCAAGAATTATCTTTTCCCCCCCACCTCCACCCCAAGATTCCTGCGAGAATTGTTCCCTGCTTCTGCCTCCCTGTGAGCAGCAGCTTTCACCACCTCTGAGAGAGAAAAAAATATAAAAGCAAGC